AAAGGACAAGATGGAAGGGGCTGTTTATTTCTTTCCATTCTATTCTTTTAAAAGAAAGGAGGGATTGACATACACATAATATTGATACTGTGCATGACATAGGTAACTAATGGGAAACTACTGTATTGCACAAGGGACTCTACTTGATATTCTGTGGCGACCTAGATGGTAAGGAAATCCAAAAAGGAGGGGATGCATGTGTATGTATATCTGATTCACTTTGCTGTGCAATAGAAACTAACACAACCTTGTAAAGCATCTACACGTCAACAAAAATGAGTTAAAAATATAAAGAGAGGAAAGGAGAACTAAGCAAAAAAAAAAAAAATCAGATAGAAGATAGATAGATGGGTTAGAGAGAGATATTAGCTAGGATTGTTAAAACAAGACTGAAACTTGAGATTATACAGTGTAGGAAACAGCTTGTTTCCATCCTCCTCTCTTCTCTTCCATTGATGCTCTGCTTCTTTGGACTTCCATCGACCTCCTGGATGGTCTTCCCCTTCCCATCTCCTCCAGTTCTTTCATTTCACCCTTCACCTTGTTCTCCTGACTACTGTCCTAGAAATGAATCTATGGCTCCCCAACTCAGAACCATTCCATACTGCCCCACTGTGCAAATCCTCTATGACAACTTGCCCATCTTTCACGATTACCTCCTTCCTACTTATCCTAGATTGTGGGTGAACCATGCCTACAAAAACCCTCATATAACCCTCTGCTCAAGTGTGTTCTCTACCCTCTTACCTTAGAGACTGTGCCCCTGCCATTTCCACAACCCCTGACGGTTACTACCACTTAAAATCCTGCTTATCTTTCAAGTCCAAGAGCAAATACAATTAGTTCTACAACTCTTTTTAAGGTGCCGCTAGAAGGAATTGAACACTATCAGTTCTTTTCTGTGTCCCCACTTTTCTTTGTATAATTCCCTAATGCTAAGTAAAACAAGTAGCTCTGCATATAGCTCTGAGTTCATTTCACCTTCTACTAGATTATAAAATTCTTAAAAGAAAGGCCTCTAACCTTGCTTTTTCTGAGTATTACATAGAGTGCCAGGGTACATGCTCAACAAAGATGCTTTTGCTTAATTTCACCCATTCAGCACACAGAGACACTACAAAAAGGCACAGGGTAGAATTTTAATGTCTTATGCAATTTAAAGGTGAAAATTAAAAAAACACATCTGGCCTTGGAAAGATAATAAATAGAATTAACACAGTGTCTGACCAAAGAACTGATTGATTGTATCTTAGGAACCAGTTAGAACAAATCTGGCTCGCAAACCATCAGTTGAAAAACTATGAAAGACAACTGCTGTTGAATTCACCAAACAGCACCCGTGCGTGCATATGTGCATGCTCAGTCGTGTCTGACTCTTTGCAACCCCATGGACTGTAGCTCACTAGTCTCCTCTGTCCATGGGATTTTCCAGGCAAGAATACTGGAGTGGGCTGCCATGCCCTCCTCCAGGGGATCTTCCCAACCCAGGCAGTGGGAATGGATCTTCCCAACCCATGTCTCCTGAGTCTCCTGACTGCAGGCCAGTTCTTTACTGCTGAACCATCTGGGAAGCCCAAACAGCACCTCCCCTAAGATTTTTAGGCCTTTGACTGTTTTACATAGGGAAGATGGAGTGTTAAACAATTACCCAAGTGATGCAGTCAAGTAAAGTTGCCAGTGAGGAAAGAGTCTGGGAACCAGACTGAATTATTCTGAGACCCCCACTCTTAACCGTACTGTGGGGTTGAACACGTGAGCCTCGGGGACTCTCTGTGTCCACAGGCTGCCTTGTGATCTCTCCTGGGGCAACCCTAGCAATTTCTCAGGCTCTGTTGGGCTCTGTGAGTGCAGCACAGTATTTCTACAGTGAAATCTGCTAAGAATTATTATGAAAGCAAAACCCACAGGCCTTCTTTTGGGAGAATGTGGAGCTAATATTCATGTCTGTGTTTGTGTCTTGGGACATCCCGAGGTGAAATGATTATACCCATAGATTGAATTCCATAGGCAAGTAGGGCTCTGAAAACAAAGCTCTCCCTGGCAGTAGAGACGAACAGTAAATATGGTCCAGGATCATCTACCTCCTCTGAAATACCTTGAGAGGCTCCAATCACGGCCATGCAAAACCAGCTCACTCTCTTTGCTAAATTCCACCCTACCCACCCTGATCCTTCTCTCTCTCTCTCTCTCTCTCCTACCCATATCTAATGATCATGAAGCATCTATTTTCATCTTGTATTAATCCTTTGAAAGCATCATGACTCCCCCACCAATTCCGTTCTTCTTTTAAGATTTGACTTATTTATTTTTGCCTCTGCTGGGTCTTCGTTGCTGCTGGGGCTTCACTCGAGTTGCAGGGAGGGGGAGCTACTCTCTAGCTGCACTGCCCCGTCTTTGCAGAGGCTTCTCTTGCTGTGGAGCACAGGCTCCAGGGCATGCTCGTGGCAGTAGTTGCGGCGTGTGGGCTCAGTGGTTGCGACTTCTGGGCTCCGGCATAGAGGCTCCATAGCTGTGGCGCACAGGCTTAGCTGCTCCACGGCACACAGGATCTTCCTGGATCAGGGATCGAACCTGTGTCTCCCACATTGGCAGGTATATTCTTTACCTCTGAGCCACGAGAGAAGCCCCAATTCTGTTCTTTTGAATGAAAGTACTTTGTCAGATATTCATTGTTCTCATCACTTTCTCCGCTGCTTTCTTCTCCTTTCTTGTTCTAATGTTATCTTGTTCTAACAGTACTATTTGTCAGATATTAGGCTAGGGTGTTAGATATGTTATCTCACTTAATCCTCACACAAGCATAATATGCACATTCTCTTTTTAATTCGTATTCTAAAGAACTGCCAGCTGCGGCTCAGAGAGGTGAATCCGCTGCCCAAGGTGGCAAAACTTCTAAGTGGTGAAGCTGGGCGTCAAACCAGCTAAAAACGCTGAGCTCTTCGTTACACCAGTGGTCGCACCAGCAGTTCTGGTCAAGCATTTGAGGATGGAATTGATTTCACTGAGAGGGAATCTATAGCTTTCACAAGCATTTTACGGGCATTCATTTCACAAAGAGCCATCTTCCGAAGTGGCTTCACCTACGACGCTTCTATAACTTTTACCACCACTTGCACTAGATTGTTCTTGCCATTTGGGGGGTAATGGGACGATTTGAGAATTTTGAGTCAAACTCTGTGAGTCACAGGTACTGAGCCCCTGACTTTACACATCCTTCTGAAGTAGAAACCCTTCTCCTTCCCATCCTTCCCACCTGCGGTCATGGATGTGGTCCAGCTGATCCTGTACTGGCTGGTGGGGAGGCCACTCAGCGGTGGGCTCAGGAGCATCTCTGGGAAGAAGGGGCTGCTGCTTCAAAGAGGTCTACCTGCCATAAAGCCCACCCCACCCCCAACTCAGAGGAAGTTCTCAGCCAAGCTTTCATCTCCAGAATTTCACCTTGGGTTCTGGTTCTCAAACTAGTTTCCAGGCCTCCCAGCACTCATCCCAAAATCTTATGAGTAGTTTCAAATATAAAAGAGAAAGGAAGATTTCTTTCTTCCCTCACATGCATACATTTAATAACATGAAAACTATGACAAAGAGGCAAAAACAGTAAACTTGGCATTCTTTTAACTTTCTAATAATAGCATGGGCAATATTCTCTTTGGAAAGTAAGTGGGGGCAGGGCCAAGTTTGATAAGAGAAACCCAACAATCACCAGAACATCAATGGATCATTTGAGAACTCCCTTCTCCCCGTGGCCGGCTGACTCCCGAGTGTCCACATCTTGGAGTTAACTTTTGGCTGCTGCTTCAAGAACAGACCACTCAACCGGCCTCAGTTCCCCAAAGGAATTCATACATAACATGGTGGGAAAGTGTTCCTTGTTGCCTTCTTTGGGACGATGGAAAACATGAAAAATGAAAAGTATTTTCTCATGCCCAGAACACCCCTGGAGTAATAAGGGAAATGACCAAAAGAAGTCTGGAATCTGGATAGTGCTTTATACTCTTTCAAAGCATTTTCACATACATTTTTTTTCAATCAACACATATGACCACCTTTTGGTGAAAAAGCAGAAACCATGGGGATCTTGTCCAGGATCAGACAGCTAGACAGGGGGACAACTGGCGCCAGCACCCAGGTTGCATGATTGGTCCAGCATTTTCTACCAGGTCCCTCCATGGCGCTCTCTCCTACTCTCGCCATCTCTGATTTCTTCTCACCCTCCATAAGCACGCTGCTTGTCAGTTACAATGACATCGAACTGAAGATACGGATTTCAAAAGGAGGAAAACCACAAATCCCTTTTTTGACAAGAATACACAGATGAGTTAATAAAAATAAACGTGGCACTCTTCGCTCTTGCCTCTTTGTGGATGTCTTTCCTAGATTAAAAAGGCCCAGTTGGGGGCAGTTCACCGACCTGCTATTTCTATGTACACATCCTACCCCCTGGTAATAGAAGGGCCTTCACGGTGGGAAATTAGCTGCTAAATATTTCCCCCTGTCTCACAGCTTGGCCTGTCAATTTCGCCCAGATATAAAACATCTGGGCTCAGACAAGAAAACAGCACATTCAGAGATGTGCTCCAGATGTGGAAGAGGACAGCTGTCCTCAAGAGTCTACACAGGACTAGCTCCAGGCACTCGTATTTCCCAAGGTCCTTTTCCAACTGCATCTCACCACAGCTTCTCTAGGACTGAAAAAAAAAACCAAAAAAACACCCCCGTCCAAGAGGTTGACCAGATAGCTGAGTAAAACGCTAAGAAGGTCATGAAGCAGCAACACTGGAAAGCACCCTGCGGGTGGCTCCATGTGTGATGGTCACATTATAAATTTCAAAGCCCTGCTCACAGACAGTGGGGTGGGATCCACTTTGGGATGCTTCAGTCAAGCGAAGGGCTTCACAGAAAGGATGTTGTCTTCACGTGGGGCTCATGCTTCTCCTGTCCAGGGTGACGTGCAAGCACACCACGGAGCCTTCAACCTCTGAAAAAAGGTGCAGAAACCCTGCTCACACCAGTTCTGTCTTGTGAAGAGTCACTGGTTCCAGATGCTTATTTGGGGAGGCGACTGGGAGGAAAGCATGTTCCAGGGCAGGTTTAGAAAAGTCTGGAAATATACTCTGCTGTCGTGCAAACTTCTGAAAAATAAAGTCAAACAAAAGAGACATGTTGAGAAGTGAATAATTGGAAAAATGCATCACCTTGATTTAAACTCCATTCACTAGGAGCTGGCTGGACAGTTCATCTGGGAGCCCTCCCGAGGCTCACTACCTCACTCACGCTATGGTGGGCTTGCACTAGTTCATTGTATCTCCGAACCTCAACAAGGAGTCACAGACTGGGGCCATTTCCAGACCCTACCATTAGGATTTCCTGCATGGAAAGTCAGTGCCTAGAGAAACCGGCATTTGCCAACCAAACACTAAAGTCACTCATTTTTAAAATTTACCACCAGGTCATTCTAATTATGGGCCTCCCTGGTGGTTCCATGGTAAGGAATCTGCCCGCCAATGCAGGAGACCGGGTTCGATCCCTGTGTCGGGAAGATCCCCTGGAGGACAGTGGCAACCCACTCCAGTATTCTAGCCTGGGAAATCCCATGGACAGAGGAGCCTTGTGGGTTACAGTCCAGGGAGTTGCAAAAGAGTTGGACACGACTGAGCAACTAAACAACAATTATCTTCTCACATGCAAATAACTCTAAAGACCAAGCTGTAAGTTCCCTGCTGCTGCTGCTGCTGCTGCTGCTAAGTCGCTTCAAAGGAAGGACAAATGTCTTAGCCTTTTTACATCCCCTCAATGCTTACATAAAGCCCTGTAAACGGCATGTGCTCACTCATACTGGATCCACGTCTAAAAGAGCAACCAGAGAGATGCGTGTTGGGCCAGAGAGTCCACTAAATGAATAGAAGGGCCCAGTGAGTATCAAGAACCAGCCTGGAATAGCTCCAGGGTGACCCATGTCCTGGTCCCCAAATGGCCAGTACTTCCTGTTCCCACTAAAGCCTACGAGACCGATGACTTCCTGGTGGGTCAGGCCTGGAGCTGGCCCTGCTCCCCCACGACCACTGTCACTCCAGGTGAGCGGCCAAGCACGAGGAGGCGTGGGGGGCAGGGAGGAGTCTCGGCTGGAGTCTGCATCCAACAGCTCAAGGGCGTGTCAAGGATACGGACAGCCATCCTCCACCCAAGCCCTGCCCTGTGTCCCTCTGACTTCTCAAGGTTAATGCTTAAAACACAGTGGAAGTACCAAAGTTATTAGAGGGAATCTAAGACAGCAGTGTCCAACGTTTTTGGCACCAGGGACCAGTTTCGTGGAAGATGATTTTTCTGTGGACCAGGGGTGGCAGGGTAAGGGCAATGGTTTGGGGATGATTCAAGTGCATTACATTTATTGTGCACTTTAATCTACTGCCACTCCTGACCGAACAAGAGCTGCCAATCCATGGTCCAGAGGTTGGGGACCTCGGCTCTAAGAGAAAAGAGTTCAAGGGCAGATGAAGGAGACAAATCCATCACTGGAGTGGACAGGCTTGCTTATCCATCTATGGGCAGAAGAGCACCTCTTCCAGTGTTGGACGGGCAAGGTCCCACGGTCTTCCAGCATATCTACAAGCCCTGTTGGTACTTTTTTCCTTGATGTGGGCCATTTTTTTTTAAAGTTTTTATTGAATTTGTTACAATACTTCTGCTGTTTATTTTTTGTTTGTTTGGCCCTAAGGCACGTGGGAGCTCAGCTTCCCAACTAGGGACTGAACCTGCATCCCGAGCCCTGGAAGGTGAAGCCTAGACCACTGAACTGCCAGGGATGTCCCGGCCTGCTAGTGCCCTAAGAGGATCCTTTCACCTTTCACAAACTTCCTTCACCTCCTATTCACTTTCTCCTCAAACGGCTCTATGCATAACCACCAGATGGAGAACAAGCTGGGAGTCTCTCAGAGAGTCTCATAGTCTGGGGACCTCAGTAAGGCCAGAGTTCTGAGAACAGAACTTCTTCCCTTGATATTATTAAATGATTCGCACCATCTACAAAACGTGTTCAGATTGGTGCCCCAGGTGATCTTTTTTTTTTTTTTTTGGCCCGCCCCACGGTTGCCCTCCCCAGGTGATCTTTTAATGAGAGATGTTTGCGAAAGATACTTACACAAGTGAAAATGATGAGTGTTACATAGAAAATGACCAGAGCCAACAGCAGGACAATCTCAGCTCTGTAGTTCTTAAAAGTCTCCCCTCTGTGTCCCTTAGAGCATCCTGCAAAAAGAAATAAGTAATATATGAAGCCACTGAATGGACTCTTCTACCAAGGTGAAAAACCAAGCATCCCCATTTTGAAGATGAGAAAAGCAAGGCTTAGACTCAATCAGAGGTTTGCCCAAGGTCACACGCTAATGAGCAGCTGAGCTCATATTTGAACCAGATCCAAGTGGCTCTAGTCTGACCACTTAAATTGGCGACAGCACCGCCTTTGCAGAGGACAGGAAAGCAAGTCAGCTGTTCTCTGCTCGTTCGCTCCCCGCTCCCCGCAGGAGAGCCTCTCCGCCCTCTCTGCTCTTCCTGCCGGGTCGCTCCAGTTCTCATTCACGGGAATGATACTCAGGGCTGACTGCGCCAGCAGGCAGCAGGGAAGAAAGCAGAGACCGTATCAGGGCAGGCGTGGTAAGTGCCATGAACTCAAACGCAGTAGAGTATAGGGCTGGAGGCTGAGAAGCATATCGCGCGTGTGTGTTTGTGTGAGATAGTGAACCAAGTCCAAATACTGAGGCACTTCCCTGGTGGTCCAATGTTTAAGACTTCGCCTTCCAATGCAGGGGGTGATGGTTCCATCCCTGATTGGGGAGCTGAGATCCCACATGCCTTGTGGCCAAACAACCAAAAAATAAAACAGAAACAGTCCTGTGACACATTCAATAAAGACTTTGAAAATGGACCACGCCAAGAAAAGAAAACTTTAAAAAAAATCCAAACATTGGCCCCTAACCAGTGCTTGCCTTCTCATGAGTGTGGGAATACGATCTTGAGTCAGATTCCTTTAAGCTCCTCCGTGGAAGGAGACAATAGCTGCTACACAAGGTCAGGGTCTCTGTAACAACATGTTTGTCATTTCAAGCCGCTAACAAGAGTTGGGCCAAAGTCAGATACAAGGCATATTTTAAGCTATATCAAGAAAAGTTATGGAAATAAGTCCAAAGAGATAATCTCTGTCTTGATACTCGAGTCCTGGTCTTACTGCACAGAGTAAAAATGTGCCTTCTACTTGGGAAGCCTCTTTTCTTGCTGGACTCTCTTTCTTTGGTCTGAGTTGAGGTATTGGGACATTCAGCCGCTGTTAAGTGGGAAAGAAATTCTGTTTTCATGTTGAAAAAGGTGGAAACATGTAGCAGCTCTCTTAAGCCAGATTAGAGAGCCCCCAGTGAGCAGAATATTGCACAGCTATCTGATCAATTCAAGACTACCCAGTTTCTCTGTCTTCCAAAAACTAGACTTGGAAACTTCCTATCGGCTCCAAAGGACTCTTATATGGATAAACAACAGCCAGATTTAGTTGCTTGACTCCATTTGGCATCTACCCCAATTAAACTGGGGTAGATTCCTTAAAAAAAAAAAAGGAAAAGCAAAAAGAAGGCAGAGAAAGTTATGCTACCCCTGCAGCAGAATTTAGCTTTCAGACGCAGATGTGATCCACAGCTTCTGAATTAAAGTCGGATTGAGCGGATCGAGGTCAGGACTTACACAAAGTGTCCTGCACGCTGTAGGAAAAAAACAGGTGCTGCAGACCACCTCACCTGTCACTTTGAGGGTCACGGTGCCACTCAGGTTTCTCTGCCCTTCCGGACCCACCAGAGTACACCTGTAGGTCCCCGAGTTGCAGCTCGTAGTGTTTTGGATCCTCAGGGAGTACAGCCTTTCCCTGGGGGCCTCTGAAGAGTTCCTCTGCTGAGGGGACTGCAGGTCTTCCTGGGTCACCTCCACCCTCTCTGCTCCCCCGTCTGTGAGCTGTTAAGAAAGAATCACATACAGACTCAGGGACCAAGAATATCTAGACTTGTGGTTGCCAAGGGGGACGGGGTAGGGAGGGGTGGACTGGGCGCTTGGAATTAGCAGATGCAAACTATTACCCAGAGAATGAATAAACCTCAAGGTCCTACTGTATCGCACCGGGAATTATCTTCAATATCCTGTGACAAACCATCTTGGAAAAGAATATGGAAAAGAATGTATACATGTCTAACTGACTCACTTTGCTCTATAGCAGAAATGAACACAACACTGCAAATCAACTAAACTTCAATAAAATAAATTTAAAAAGCAAGAGTCAGATTTGCATCATGCCCTACTGTCAGAACCCACAAGCCCTTGGGTCTCCAAGATGTCAAGATTCTGCCTCTTGCTTTCATAAAATCTACCCTCAGCTGGCTGTTTTAAAAAAAGATACTGTGAGTATGTGTGATGTTTGCAGGGGGGAGGAGAGAATCTAACAGGATTCTTTAAGGTGCCATCTCTTTTTGGAATAAGATCAGGACTGCATTTTATGATTCTCTGTATCCCAACTTCCACTCTACATGAAGAAGACAATGTTCCTGTTGACAATAGCCTTGCATCATTGATGATTACGTGATGAAGTGCATGAATCACGCTGAATCACATTCTCTTGCCGGCTGTTGTCTATTCAATGTTCCCTTGTTTTCTTCAGATACCAACTCATCCAGTGACTGATTCTTATTTTTGCAGCTCAGGGTTTTATTTAGAAAATGTTCCTAAATCTGTTAAGGTCATTGCCGGACAACTTGACCAAAAAAACACAGAGATGCAGATGAGCAAAGCCTCCCATGAAGAGTCATCCTGTCCTTCAGAATGGCACACATGTGGGCTCATCCATGACCCTGCAGGATGTGCCACACTCAGCCCTCTGCTACGGCAGGAAGACAGCTGACAGCAGCACCACGTGGAGATTTTCTATGTCAGGCTACTTGGCAGTTGTACCAAGATACACATGGAAGGGCGGGTGTGCCCGCTGAGTCACGTCAGTCATGTCCGACTCTTTGCGACCCTATGGACTGTAGCCCGCCAGGCTCCTCTGTCCATGGGATTCTCCAGGCAAGAACACTGGAGTGGGCTGCCATGCCCTCCTCCAGGGGATCTTCCCAACCCAGGGATCGAATCCAGTGTCTCCTCAGCTCCCGCACCGCAGGCAGATTCTTCACTGCTGAGCATCAGGGAAGTCCCCACGGAACAGCAGTTATGCCTTAAATCACTGAAGCCAGGATGGATCAGCCCGACAGGAGTAGGTGCCAAGTTTACCCACGCTAACCTGGCTGGTTTTCTTTCCCCGAACAATCTTTGTGCTGAAACTGGTGGAGTCTTTCCATCATCTCCTAGTCCCACGATTAAGTACACACCATGTTCACCATCAATTCTCTTTCTCCCCAGGTATATTTTTAACTGGCCTAGTTAACTTGCTCGTTGGTCCTCCACTGAAATGTTTTAAAGCTTCTAAACCTGATTTACAGAAACAGGAAAGCCAATCACTGTTTTCAGGGCTCCAGAGCAGCCCCGAGCCTTTGCTGAGTGGCTGGGGACCAGCAGGGGGCCTGGGGTCTGGTGGCATTCCTTCCTGGTCCCTGGCGTGGTGCCCACACCAGAGGGCCCCTTAGGAAAAGACACCACTGCCCTCTCTGGCTGCACCTGCTGCTGTTTCATCTCCTGCAGGGAGCATCTCCTGCAGGGAGCACTCAACAACTCCTCTCCTAATTTCAGTAGGCATCCGCACAGGGAAATAAATAACCAAGGAATGCGGGAAACAGAGGCAGAGGCAGCTCAAGGCAGGAGACATACACACGTGTGTGCACACACACACCCTCCTCAGTTTCTGCTTCAGGTATTAGGTCGGGGGATGCACTGTGAGGTCCATGGGAAGCTCGGGTTCCCGCCTCCGCGGCCCCAGCTCCCGTGAGCACGCCTGTGGAGTGGCCTACAGAGACATCTGGTGGTAGATTTATCGCTCCTGCAAGAATCCCCACTTCATTCACTCCCAGCACCAGGCTGAAACTAACAGCTTCTCTCAGGCTGAGTCTCTGAACATCAATCCCAATTCTTGAAAGTTCTGCTTGTGTTGAAAAGTTCCTTGCTAAATAATCAAGGATCTACAGACTGGGGCATTTAGGTGTTCAAAAATAAAGCAAGAAAACAAAAGAAGGAGTTGTGGTCAAGGAACTGTAGGCGTCCGACTGATTCTAGAACACGTCTAAGTTAGCCCAGTTCTCCTCTTTTCAGGCATGATGAAACCAGTAAGTGCAGCCTTATCACATACCTGCACCTCTCCCCTCACCCACTGCTTGACGAAGGGCTCCCTTGGACCACAGCTTTTGGTGCGTCAGCTGCCCAGGACCATCCAGGGTCAATTGCTTCCAAGACTACCCCCCTACCCGACCCAGCCTCAAAGGCCAGTTTGAACTAATTAACTCAGCTTAATCTCTGCAGTCCCCATGATACTATCTCATCCTGCTTTGCTTTTCTGAATTAACCTCCAAATGGGTTCAACTCAGATTTCTTTCTAACAGCACAAGAAGTGAACATGTTAGTCGCTCAGTCATGTCTGACTCTTTGCGACACCATGAACTGTAGCCCGCCAGGCTCCTCTGTCCGTGGGATTCTCCAGGCTAGAATACTAGAGCAGGTTGCTATTCTCTTCTCCAGGGGACCTTCCTGACCCAGGGATCAAACCCCAGTCTCCTGTACTGGCAGTGGAGTCTTTATAATCTGAGCCACCAGGGAAGCCCCTCTTTCTAACCAACATCACTGGAACTCAGTTTTGCTAGAAATCCCTGCATTCGAAAAGACGTGAGCTTGGCTGCAACAGTCATTTTGAGATTATCTACCTCTGGTTTTCTCCACCGGGGGGATCTTCTCTCCTATCCAGTGACCCCTCCCTCAACTCAGAAAGGCCCGTCTGAAAGTCAAGACCAAAACTGAGAGCCCCTCTGAAAGCTAGTAGAAATATAAACTATTGTGCTTTATTTACATGAAGATGGGCCCCTTATCATGATGGCTGCTGGGAACTGCTGAATCACGTATGCGGTGGGGATCAGAACTGACCGGCAGTGGCTTGCTGTCTACTTGCAGAAGAAAATTCATTTAAAAAAGTCAGCAGTAACAACACAACAGTAGTTTAAGTGATGGTCAGATTTCCACAGGTGTCTGGAAAAACCTCCAGAGAGGTTATTTTCAAATAGCAAAGCAAAGGCAGGGTGAGATCATGAATGAAAGTAAGAAGGAGAGGAAAGTCAAAGAATCCCAAGGCGGCCTTCAGAATTCTGATTGACTGAACCGCGGCAGCCCTCAGTGAGATCAGGCAAAAATATCTTAACTTTCACAGGGTCATCTTTCAATGACCCCTCCCTGGGTCTTCTTGAAAGACCCGGAGAACTGAGAGGAGTACTGGCTGATAACCTGAGTCCTCTCGCCAAAGTAATGAACAGTTCTCTGTGCCTGATAACTCACTGTAACAAAAGGACGCTTCTGTAAATTCACGCAGTGCACCTGAAAATTGTTCAGAGCCCTCCCTTAGCTCAAGCTGTAGGTATGTACATTGCCTGTCCTACTGGCCCTGCCTTTTGCCTACAGCTGCAAAAATTTAGTGGTAGTTTTCACATTAATGTCACATGCTTATGATGGGAGTGAGGTGCTAGCAGTACCAAGAGGCCATATGCAAAAAAGACTTTATGCAAAAGATCGAATCCTCGTCTTTAGCGCAATGGCCAAGCAGCCATCACACTGCAGTATAGGGTGAGTTAGCCATGGCTGGAGCAGCACCGTTCAAGAATCAGAGGAATTTCAGGGGGAGGAACATGGAATTACAGCAAATGGGCCATCCTCAACTTCGCCTGGTTTTATGAGTTCTTATAAACATTTGAGCTGGCTCAAAATCAACCACTGGCAGGAACGACTCCCAGCATTCCAAATCTAAAAGTGTTTCATTGCCTCTCTGCAGAAGCATTTTAGGAAATAATAATTTATAACAAAAGGAACCCTCGGATTCATTCACAGCCAAGTGTAATTGATGGGGACTATTTAGCGCACACTCTGTGAGGCTAATATTGTAGAGGGCTGGACCACAGCACGAAGCGGGCAAATTAATTCCTCAAAACATTCACCTCAATTATGTTTTTAAAATCCACATTTCGTGCATTAACTCTTATGCTGACAAATTCTTTCCAATTGAAACAGAAAGGGGTGAAATATAAGACATCTCCTTTTCAGAAGGCCTATAGACCTTTGAGTAGTCTCAAGGCCTCCAATTTGACTAAATAATTTAAATACCATATTCATTCTCTAAGATGGAGACCTAAGCCTTAAATTAAAAAACTCTCTTTAATTTGCTGAATACTAAATCAAGCAAATACAAGTACTAATTTTAAAGGCATGTGAATTAAGTTTTTTTTTAACTGGTGGATAAATTTGAACTAGAGAGAAACAAATCAAGTAAATACCTAAATATGGCTGAAATAGAACCAATATTTCAGTCAAAATCCTTACTGTGAAAAGTTTTTTAGAAGTTTACATAATTTTATCCAAATATATGCTAACTTCATAGATTATCATAGATTACCTAGATTATCTAGATTACCATATACCATATTTGTTTCATTCCTACAGCAAAGAATTTTGATTTGACAGCCCTGAAATCTGAATTTATCACATACGACATGTGTTTGGAATGTGATAGGAAAGTAAAAGAAAAGGAAGAGATTTTTTGAGGGGAAAAATGTGTGCACACATATATGCATATAAATATTTAATCCAACAATTTAATTAAACATATTTAAAGGAATGGACATTAAGTACTTAAGGTGGTATTAAATTAATCTGATATATTCCAATCACATTGAACAGCTTTTTTTTTATTGCATTTCCCATGCACTAACATTCATGTACCTTGGTTTCTAACTCAATTAAAGTGCCAATATAATCCCCATTCATCATAAAAACAGCTCTTT